GCTGCCTTGTAGCAATGGGCATCACTACATCTGAGCTATGCCGAGGAACTGCTGCTGAGACTCTGACCCCTGGTAGCACAGGAAGCCTCGTCTTTGCTTGGCATTAAGGCAGTCTATTGTTTATGCTTCCTTCTCCCCCAGCCTCCCTTTCGGTTGTCACTCAGCTCCCTGGAGTCTCTGGAGCAGGGGACAGCTCCTTCAGCCTGGTGACACAGGGTGAAATTCACTCTAGCCACATAAAGCCCAACTCTCCCAGCTCCATGCAGGCAGAAAAGCTGCAGCCGTGAGACCCATCCCCAACCAGGCCCAGGGTGTGGTGCATCTCTGCAGCCCCCACCCCAGCCAGTTCCACAGGGTGCTTGGCCACTGGATCTGCCTTCAAGCGGATCTGATCCCCGGCCCGCCCCACTGCAGCCTTCCACATTGGGCAGAATTCAGATCCCCGAATAGCAACAGGAGACTCCTCTGGAGCGGGAAGAGCAAAGGGCAAGGGCAAGGGCAAGCCATGGCCCCCCGCCTGGCTCCCTCAGGCAGGCTGGCTGAGAGCTTATGCTGGGCTACATCTTAGCCCTGTGGCACTAACCACGCTGCATCGGTGAGATCTGACCGTGACTGCACTCCGGCAGTGTCTGCACATACTGTAATCACTACGCAAACACCCATTTTACTAATCAGCTATAGATTTCTACACACTCCAGCCTTAAGTGCCATTAATTATATCACACACTCAACAGCCTCTAAGCACCATCAATTAGAAATCAGGAACTCAGGGTCCCCAGGAAACCATTATGACCTAAGAGAGTGAACCTTAAGCTCCAAAGGAGATAGGTTTCATGAAGGTCACCTTGAGAAACAGCATCATAAGAATCCGTCAATAGACGAGAATGTTCCCAGGGTGTATTTTTGACGTTATTTTGACTAGCTAGAAAGGTTGAAGAGAAGAATGTGTCATATTACAGGGTCTATTCTTCCCCCAAAATTAGTTTTCCTGCAATAAGAAACAAGTAAATATAAAGTAATCCTTTTTCATTTCAACGGAATGCAAGGAAAAGTTAATATCACCAGAAGCTTCCCGAACAAACACAACCTGGTCTGTGAGAGTGTCATCTGAAGTGTAAAAACTTTGTCTAACGTCTCTTAAAATATCTCTCACATGGAAGATGTAGCTATAAGAGCAATGCAATTACAGTGGCTACTAATGAACCATGTAATGCATAAGGGAAAAGGTTTCCCCATAAGTGTGATGTGTTAATGTATAATGTGCCTACTGCAAAATGAATGTTGATTCTTGTTCTAGTCTGGGTGTGTCAGAGTCATTTTTTCCCTGGCAGCCCAGTGAAAATGAAGACTCAGGGGAGGGCAGGCTGAGTGAAATTCACCCCAGTGCAGGGGGGCACCTGAAAGCCTACGTACCCCATCAGTCCTCATTTGAGGATTTAAGTTGTTGCTGGCACAGAGGTGCCCGAGGCAAAGCAACAGGGGTTCGTTGCCCGGCGTGCTTCGCGCCAATAAACACACCAGGTGGAGAAGCAAACAAAGTTTATTTGAGATCTCAAAGCGGTGCTAGGAGACAGGCACGTCTCAAATCGAGCACAGTAACAGAAACAGTTTTTTTTCCTTTATACCTTTACAGTCAAGCCTCACCCCCCCCTTCCCCCGCTACCCCTCCCTTCCCTCCCCCCATTCCTCTCTCTCTCTACCCCTCCCATCCCTGGTAACAATTACTAAGCAAATAGCAATTACATTTAAGCAGTTAGTTTATGTTGGCAGCTATAAGGTCAGCTCGTTAGTAACTTCTTGAACTACTATCTTGTCCCGTTCCTTTGATTTATTATCTTTCCTTCGGCCAGAGGTATGCAGGCCTCATTATACTGCAAAGGGGGGTTTACCACTGATATCAAGCTGCTTACACATTTCACTTGCACCTGGCTTTTGAGGTCGATTAGAGTTTAAACATGGAAGGAGTTTGGTTCAGGCCTAGTGCAGGAAGGCTTCATTGACACTTGTGATTTTCCACCCTCCTGAGTCACCTGGGGTGATGGTGATGCCTGGTGACGTCAACAAAGTGGTGCACTGACCTAGTGCTGTCTCTGCACAGGGATGAACGTCAAAGGGAACTCTGGGCTTCCCTTTCCCTGGGGTTAGCAAAATTTACTCACCTTTGCAGGGTACCTTGAACGCCACAGATCAGCACCTAGGTCCTGTGGTTATAGCTGCAGTAGAAGCATCTGCCAGAGAGGCTGTATAAAGTATTACTTTTTTTAGCGTTAATAGTGCAAACTCAGAAGGGTCAGATGTTCTGTTCACACAAAAGCTTGACTCCCAAATATCAACAGCCAGATAGGTTGATCTGGTTTTGTGCTTGATTAATCAGTGGGGGAGGCGGGGAGGGCACAACTTAGGGAGCAGAGCGTCCCGGGATCTCGAAAAGAACAGAAGGAGAGGCATAGGGCAATGATGACGTTTCAGAGAAGACTGATGAAAAGAGGAGTCCAGGGCTTTCAGATCTGAAATGGAGGCTGGAGCTGGGCTCTGATTCCTGCAAACTCATCCGTGGTGTGAGTTACAAGATACACTGACTAAGCAGGGAGGCCCTGTTTAAAGCGGATTCACAAGTAACTTACAGGCTGCCATGCAAGGGGCGGCATACAATGGAGACGTTAGCACTCAAGATGCCATGTAACGGGGAAACACATGTTTCAGGGAGAAGAGACAACCAAACAATGATGTGGGCAGGTGGTAAGACACCAAGCAAAACAGCACACCTAGTGCTCAACTACTAGCCAAGTGCTGTTACTGTACTGTTGGGGGCATAACATGAGAGAGAGATTCAAAGCAGCAATCTGAATATGATCTTGTAGCTGACGTGCTTCCGTATGTGAGTTTCAATAGCCAAGCTGTGGCGATGGCAAGGTAGAACTAGCCGTTCAGGGGAGTAGATATGTGAAAAGGGAGGGATGTTGGACACATTGTACAATTTGTCCCTCGACAGTCACCGGAACACTTTGGTACCCATGGCCACTAGTGTGTATCAGGGTGGGACGAATTGTGTCCTCACTGTCCACATGCAGCTTCTCTCATGATTGCAGATCGAGGACACACAATGTCCCTTTGAGTCATGCTACATATAGCACAGTAAAGGGGTGATGAAAGGGACCTTTCCTGCAAAGAACTCAAGGGTAAACTGCCTTTGATCTTTCTTTTGAGGGTGAAATTCTCTGCTTAAGGGCTGGCCCAAGGCTGGGGTATGGATCCATAGGGCACCTTGAAAGTTTCTGGGAGCAGGTGCTCCATCCAGAAGCAGGAGCAGTGAAAGCTTTCTAAAAGCAGGAGGGCCACTGGTGCCCAAAGTGTGGCCCCACCTCCCATGTCACCACTTCCCCCCGAGCCCCTACCCTTGCACTGCCCCTTCCCCCGAGACCCCTCCTCCGCACCACCTCTTCCCCAAAGCCCCGCCCCCGCACCGCCTCTTCCTCCAAGGCCCGGCCCCTGCGCTGCCTCTTCCCCCAAGTCCCTGCCCCTGCACCGCCCCTTCCCCCAAGGTCCTGCCCCCTGCACCGCCTCTTCCCCCACCAAGACCATGTCCCCTGCTCGCTCCTCTCAACCCCGCCTTGCCAGATCCTTGCACCCGCATGGAGCCCCGCTCACTTCACTAGGACGTCCCATGAATGCCGCAGCATGCAGAATCAAGACTTCTAATGGCACAGAAGGGACTATGATTGTAAAGTACATTTACAGGAAGCTCTCCGGGAGGCTGGATGGCCCAATGGCTCGGGTAGAGGGCTGACAGGAAAGAGGGGTTCTAGGCCAAGCGCTGCCCGTGGCCTACTCTTGGCCAAATCATTTGGGGCTAGATTCACAAAAGATGCCAAATCTCAGCATCAGGCCCCCCTGCAAGACACAAAATCCCCCCTCAGGTGCTCTGAACTCTCTTACCAGGTTGGGCTCTGTGGATGAGCTCACACCAAACAGCTGGGCTTTGGGGAGGAGGAGAACATCCCTCATAAACAGCGCTTTTCGCTCCGTGGTTCGTGTACTCAGCTGGAATGCGGAAGACCCCTGGTTCAGGGCCCCCCTGAAGGGGAGAAGGGATTTGAACGGGAGTCTGCCACCACTCACGAGGGCCCTGGCCTAGTCTGATGCGGGGGGGTCACCCAGCCTCTCCTGGTGAAGTTCTTGCACTGTGAATAAATAATTCACGGCCCACTGGGCCAGAGAGAGAGCAAGCCTGGGACTGACGCTGTAGCCGGGTGGTTAGAGCATTCACCCAGGAGACAGAGCCGTTGCTTCTGAGACATAATCCCCCCTGCCCCGATTTAGGCCCCAACTCCCTCGCCTTGGCATCTCCCATAGGCAAGCCCAGACGGGGAGCCGCCTAGCATGCTGGCTTTTGTGACTCCCGTTCTGAGGCACCTCTCTCGCCCCGTTCATCGTCTAGAGAGTCTAGACAGCTACTCCAGGCTTCGGGAATTGCTGTGATTTTGTAGCTACCTGAAAGTAAGGTGTGGTGACACTCAGCATGGCCATGCCTGAATTCCCTTCCGAATCTAGCCCTTCCTCACTCTGTGGCGTAGTTTCCCTTCTGTAAAATAAACATAATGCCACTAACCTCCTTTGCAAAGTGCTTTGAGATCCACGTCTGAAAAGCACTATATGACCCCAAGGTGTTATCACAATTGGCACATGGGCTTGATCTGTATAATATAAATAGATTCCATCCAAATGGCATCTTGAAATGACTTGCTATAACCACTGTACAGTTATGGTTCTCCCCTCCAAATACTAGCTGCTGCCAGATGAACTGGAATATGCGCTAGCTGGCTTTAACCCTGAATATTTCCGTTTCTCCATCATAATCACTGGTTCCCTTTGCACAGTGCTAATCAGCATCTAGCCAATTAACAATAAACAAACTCATTTTATCTTACTAATACAGATCAAATATGTTATGGCATTTAGCTTAATGTCTAGTGGAGCTTTTAATGGTCACTATTTTTCAGGTGAGCCAATCTGGAACAAATCCTGGAGCATAAGAAAACCAAAAAAGGGACTAATTCGCCAGTGCTCTGTGACTTTGGACCTGCAGCTAACCAGCTTAGATGACATTCTACAAACAATGGATTCATCCATGAAACACTTTATTGTACCGTTGGATATCGGTGGGGTTGAATTTCACCTAAGACGACCGATAGACTGGATTCAACACAACCTTTTGCATAATGGCTCAGATTTTTGAATGATGTACTTGGGAGTGAATCTTTTAAAATTGGCCTTGGGCCTAAACTGAAATTAAATATTAGCAGCAATATTTGTCTGGTGTGTTACACTACATTTATCTGGATACATTACAAAACATTGGCTCCATGTTGTGCCTAACGATATTCTGTTTGTAATGTATTGTGGCGCAGAAAAATTACATCTTTTAGTACTAGTGTGCGTCTCAGAAACCAAAGCTTTGTTATAGCCTGGATACGATAAGCCTGGAGAGCTACCATTTTGCTAGATAAGATTATTGAATAAGAAATGCATAAACTTTCTTAAGATCATACATTCCTCTCTTACTTTTAATGTATTGGTACAAAGCTGTAGGGGCTTAAAATAGTGCAATACACTTTAGGGAATTAATCAAAATGTGAAGCTGCTCATGTGATATTCAGCACGTTATGGCCTATGATGTAAGGGTTGTTGCTTGCAACAAAACATGTTAACTTTGGTTGGTTGTTATTCACTTGACGTACTCGCTCAGTAATAAGATCATCGGCAGAGCTGCTCTGAGGCGACTCTGCAGTCATTTAGCTATTTACTGCCAGTGCATCACAGAGAATATGTGGCTGAAATGAAGGCAAATGGACATCTAATATACTGGCAAGAGCCCTGAACTGAAGCACAGTGGTGGCACTCTTGAACTTTGGGGGAGTTTGGACCCCGATCCCAACCTGAGTTTGGCAGCTCGGGTCTACAGTTGTCACTAGAAGAAGGCAGCTTTTGTCATCCCTTGCCACACAGTGGTATATGGGACAACAGTGTTCTTAATGCAGAATGGGAGAGAACGGCAGTAGCTCAGATACTCTGAGGTCGCTGCTTTAAACCACGGCAACTTGTACAGCATCTTTGCAATGGGGTTGACATGGGCCATCAGCCCTGAATATACCAGAACTTCAGAGAAGTTGGAGTCAGATCCGAATCAGGATTCAGATGCCACCAGATTGACCCGACACTACATCAAACAAAATGAAACATGCCAGAAATGTGTAAATAAATAATCCCTCTGGGAGTGTCACGGAAGCCCAGTCTGATTTGAGACTTAATGAAAATGCCCAGGGTATACACAGTGCTTGGGCCAAAGTCTGGCCAGGACCAGGGATAAATTTGGCCCATTGACTTAGAAACTCTGCTGAGCAAATACAGAGAGTAACATCAGGAGCGAAACAAAGGCATTTGGCTAGAGTTAGGCTTGGCAGAATTCATTTTTTTATACTTGTGACAGATAATAGCAATGTTTATGTGTAAGTACTTTTCTGATTATTATCGATTAAAATTTTCCCAGTTACACAGAATTATGGGGGTTTATGCATTTTTTCAGTATTTATCAATTTACATTTTCACAGTTGCAGGAAATGCTGGGGGAGGAAGCCAGACAGTTATTTAATGACAGGAGAGGTTGAGATTCAAACGGTTAAAACTTTATAACCATCAACATCACATGTCAAACTGTACAAAGTAAATATCCGCAAATCAAATTCTCAAGCAGCATTTCTCTTACTTGGCCTATCAGTACATTTTGATGATTAGCGACGGAAATATTTGTGTTGGTTTGCGTGTGTACGATGAAATTGACACATAAAGCTAATCCTTCCAAGCCTAGCTCTAGTTCTTGTTCTAATACTTTGCAAAAGTAGCTCCAGGACGCCTGTGTTTGCTCTCACAGATTTCACATGACAGCAGACATCTTCCACAGACTTTTGAAACGCCGCAACCATTCTAATGCTCTTTTATTTTCAGTCAAAGTAAAGAGAAATCCCCTTCTGACAGAGTCTGTACATTTTAGTCCCTGAACAAGAGTTGAAATACAGAAAAGCAAGGCACAATGGCAAGCCAGAAAAGCTTGGGAGACTGAGCACTTTCCAAGAACCCAGCAAATGAACCAGTCTGAAAGGGCCTCCCTTTGCATTTGAATATGTAAAATCGAGCTGATTCTTCAACGCGAAGACAATTGCCATTCCATACAGGTAGGTGGACGTGGAAGACCCTGTGCTTCAATTACATTTGCAAGCTATTTTCAACCCTTGCATTTGATGGCTTCATATTCAGTATGGAATATTCTTGTATTAAATTTTGTAGCCAGCGATGAAGGCAGGATACCACCCACTTCATATCACGCCTGCCTAGTAGATGACGACTGACCTGCAAGGAACAGTTCATTTGTGTTAATGAGGATGCCGTATCAAAGGTCTAGTTAAAAAAAAATCCTCTTGTGGCATTATGTGCAAAACAACCCCTTGATGCAGTACAGGGTGTGTGTGTGTTTCCCTCCTGTTTTAAAAAACAGAATTTGCCCTAGATGGGGGTATACGTTAAAGAATTAGTGGTGGCTAGGGACGGATTAGAAAAGGCAGCTCAAGTAACTCTGCAGTTATATGGGAAGTAAAAAAGCCCTATTTAAATCTAGGCCTGCCACTAGCACCTGGCTCATTCATACACTTCCCACAGCCCTAAGGAGGAGGGGACTGGGAAGACTGGCTTGATGGGACAGATTATAAGGCATAGCAGGTAGGCTGGGAATCATTAGAAAAGGGACAGATAATAAGACAGAAAATATCATATTGCCTCTATATAACTCCATGGTACACCCACACCTTGAATACTGCGTGCAGATGTGGTTGCCCCATCTCAAAAAAGATATATTGGAATTGGAAAAGGTTCAGAAAAGGGCAACAAAAATGATTAGGGGTATAGAACGGTTTCCGTATGAGGAGAGATTAATAAGACTGGGACTTTTCAGCTTGGAAAAGAGATGACTAAGGGGGGATATAATAGAGGTCTATAAAATCATGACTGGTGTGGCGAAAGTAAATAAGGAAGTGTTATTTACTCCTTCTCATAACACAAGAAGTAGGGGTCACCAAATGAAATTAATAGGCAGCAGGTTTAAAACAAAGAAAAGGAAGTATTTCTTCACACAATGCACAGTCAACCTCTGGAACTCTTTGCCAGAGGATGTGGTGAAGGCCAAGACTATAACAGTATTCAAAAAAGAACTAGGTAAATTCATGGAGGATAGGTCCATCAATGGCTATTAGCCAGGATGAGCAGGGATGGTGTCCCAAGCCTCTGTTTGCCAGAAGCTGGGAATGGGCAAGAGGGGATGGATCACTTGATGATTACCTGTTCTGTTCATTCCCTCTGGGGCACCTGGCACTGGCCACTGTCAGAAGACAGGACACTGGGCTTGATGGACCTTTGGTCTGACCCAATATGGCTGTTCTTATCAGCACCTCAGCACTTCCGCTGCAGCAGGGGCCGGACCTCTGGTTGGCCTTGATATGGGCTAGTCTCTATACTCCCTTTCCCTGCTGCTCAGCCACACTCTTACCCATGCTGGCCATCATGGAGTGTCTTCTACTGGTGCCAGTCACTGTGGTGTGCTGCTTTTCATGGGGAACACGAGAGGGATACAGGGAAACACCTAGGTGCAGAGGAACATATGCAGTCAGGAGGAGCCAGGCAGTCCAGTTCTGCTCTCTTGTCCACTCTGATTTTCATTCATGTAACTCCATTGTTTTCTGTGGGCTTGTTCCTGAATTTCCAGTGGGAGCAAGAGTAGAATCCGGCCCTGTGTTTCCTCCTCTGTGTACCCTGCTATGGAATAAAGCTTGCAGAAGGTGCTCTGAGAATGGCTCCTGGCACCACAGAGCCGGTGGCCGCTCAAACATCCACGCTATAGGAAACACAGAGGGCCAGAGGTGCCAAGTCACCTTCAGAGCTGACGCCTCCTAGTCACGGACATTTCAGAGCTGAGCAAGAGTCAAGCCGCTGCTAACACCCTCAAACTTTGGGCTATTAAAAACCTGGAATTAAATGTTGCTGCTTGAGTGCATTTCCAGCAATTTTTTGCAAACCAGTTCCTCTCCCCCCCCCATGCAAACACTAATTGATGCATGGAGTTCTATTTCCTCACATGTGAAAGGACTTCGGTATCTAATTGCACTTTCCACTTGCACCGAAAATGTGCATAAAAAATTCCAGGTATAAAAAAAATCTCTGTATTCAAAATTGCCAATGCAGGTTTAGACACTGGGTTGGATCCCATTTGAAATTTTAGCCTAATCATCAACTCATTGGTAGCAGTTTGTTTTGTTGCAAGTCCCTGCAGGAATTTTAACACCTTGCCACTATTAGCACCTTGCTGTTACTAACATTTCAGAGACAAGAGCAGTGGAAAAAAACCACCTGTTAGAAAGGAGCCATAGTAGCAGAGCACTGCAACATTTGTTAACCTTTTCTTGAAGTCGCAGAATTCGGAGACGCGCCATCTGTCACATCGATCCAAAGCCACTCAGTCTTTGTTCAGTGCTTCGGGATTAAAAGGGAACAAAGAAATGGCCACCTTGGATTGCATTTCTTCCTTTGCAGATGACTTGTGTTATTCCGGAAAACTCATTGTAAAAAAAAATCCTGCCCTACTCCCTGCACCCCGCCCCCATTCTGGACTTGAGCGTAGGGGATTTGGGTGTTAGGAACTGATCAGTCCAAGGAAAAGACACTTGTTTTAATGTGAAGACAATAACAATGCTGCATCGGTGCTAAGCAAGGGCGTGTGCCTGCAAAGAGCTGAGCACGGCCTGTTTGTGGCTGTGTGGGCTGGATGCCCGTTAGGAGCCGAGGATGCCCCGAACCTCAAAGTTTAAAATCAGTGGTAGATGAACAAAGGAGCTGGAGGCGCATTGGTACCTAGGCGGAAACACACTCAACGTGCCATGGGAAGTCGGGCTTCACTAAAGCAGGCAGTGTCACGCAGTGCTTCCAGCAGGGCCGTGAGCACAGTGCGAGGACATCTTCACATTCTTTGTAAGCATTAGTCTAGCTGGAGACTGGGGAGTTTACGTCCCAGCACCATCTTCTGTTTCTCGGCAGGAGGCCTGTTAACCACCCCCGGTTGCTCAGAGGCATGCACAGGTTGCTGGATGCAGGGCCTGGACACGTGCGGTGTGGGCTCCGTCTTCGCATAGCCGTTTGTAAATCTGCTGATCGTTGCTTGTCACACATCCCCGCTGCTTGGCCTCGCCTGTGAATCGATGTGCTCACATAAGGCGGAGGGCGGATTCTCAGCACTGTTACAGAGCGGGGACCATGGCAACTCAGTTTGGGAAGGCGCCT